GAGGAATCAGGGTCTCTCCTTTTTGAAAAAAGAAAATGCAATTAGAGGGAGGGAGGGAGGGAGATGAGAGAGAAGGAGGAAGGAAGGAGGGAGGGAGGAAGGAGAGAAAGAGGGAAGGGAAAGAGAAAGAGGGAGGAAGGGGAAAGGAAGGAAGGAAGGAAGGAAAAGGAAGGAGACAAAGAAGAGAAGAAGGAAGCCAAGAGAAGGAAGGAAGGAAGGAAGGAAGGAAGGAAGGAAGGAAGAAGAAGGAATGAATGGAAGGAAGGAGGAAGAGAAGGAAGGAAGGAAGGAAGGAAGAAGAAAAGGAAAAGGAAGAAGACAAAGAAGAGAAGAAGGAAGCCAAGAGAAGGAAGGAAGGAAGGAGAGAAAGAGGGAAGGGAAAGAGAAAGAAGAGAGGGAAAGAAGCAAAGGAAGGTAGCAAGGAAGGAAAAGAGGATAGTGGGAAGAGAGAAAAGGAAGGAAGGAAAGAAAGAAAAGGAAGGAGACAAAGAAGAGAAGAAGGAAGCCAAGAGAAGGAAGGAAGGAAGGAAGGAAGGAAGGAAGGAAGGAAGGAAAAGGAAGGAGACAAAGAAGAGAAGAAGGAAGCCAAGAGAAGGAAGGAAGGAAGGAAGGAAGGAAGGAAGGAAGGAAGGAAGGAAGGAAGGAAGGAAGAAAAGGAAGGAAGGAAGGAAGGAAAGGAAGGAAGGAAGGAAGGAAGGAAGGAAGGAAGGAAGGAAGGAAGGAAGGAGGAAGGAAGGAAGGAAGGAAGGAAGGAAGGAAGGAAGGAGGGAGAAGCAAGGAAGGAAGGAAAGAAGGAAGGAAAAGGAAGAAGACAAAGAAGAGAAGAAGGAGCCAAGAGAAGGAAGGAAGGAAGGAGAGAAGGAGGGAAAGGAAAGATTTAAAGAGGGAGGGTGGGAAGAAGCAAAGGAAGGTAGCAAGGAAGGAAAAGAGGATAGTGGGAAGAGAGAAAAGGAAGGAAAGAAAGAAAGAAAGAAAAGGAAGGAGACAAAGAAGAGAAGAAGGAAGCCAAGAGAAGGGAGGGAGGGAGGGGGGAAAAGGAAGGAGACAGAGAAGAGAAAAAGGAAGGCAAGAGAAGGAAGGAAGGAAGGAAGGAAGGAAGGAAGGAAGGAAGGAAGGAAGGAAGGAAGGAAGGGGAGAAAAGGAAGGGAAGGAATAAAAAGGAGGGAAGAGGGGAGGGAGAGAGGAGAGAAAGGAAGGAAGGAGACAGGAAAAAGAGGGAATGGAAAGAATGAAAGAGGGAAGGAAAAGGGAAGAAGCAAAGGAAGGAAGCAGGGAAGGAAGAGGGGAGAGAGGGGCATGGGAAGAAAGGAAGGTCAAAAGGAAGGAGACAGAGAGAATAGGAAAAAAAGGGGAGAAAGAGAGAAGGGAAGGAATGAAAGATGGAAGGAGGGAACAAGGAAGAGGGAAGGGAAGGAGGAGAGAGAAGGATGGAAAGAAAGGAAGGAGACAGAGAAGAGAAGAATGAAGGTGAAAGAAGGAAGGAAAGAAGGAAGGGGAGAAAGAGGGAAGGAATAAAAGATGAAGGGAGGGAGGGAGGGAAGGAAGAGGGGATGGAGAGAGAAGAGAAAGGAGGAAGGAAGGTGAAAAGGAAAGAAGGAGACAGGAAATTCTTCTGCCAGCCATTGTTTCTTCAATCAGGTTCACTATCACCTGTAGTTATGAGGAAGATATTGTACTCCAAGGAAGCACCGAGGATACTGGACCAGTGCCTGGCCGCTGTGACTATCTGGATGAGGACGAATAAGTTGAGGATCAATCCTGACAAGACAGAGGTCCTCCAGGTCAGTTGCTCATCTGATCGGGGTATTGGGTGGCAACCTGTGCTGGACGGGGATGCACTCCCCCTAAAGTCACAGGTCTGCAGTTTGAGGGTCCTCCTGTATTCAGCGCTGACACTTGATGCGCAGGCATCGGCTGTGGCCGGGAGGGCCTTTGCACAATTAAAACTTGTGCGCCAGCTGTGATCATACCTAGTGAAGTCTGACTTGACCATGGTGGTCCATGCCTTAGTTACCTATAGACTGGACTACTGTAATGCTCTCTACGTGGGGCTACCCTTGAAGATGGCCCGGAAACTACAACTTGTCCAACGTTCAGCAGCCAGATTAATAACTGGGGCAACCTACAGGGAGCGGTCAACTCCACTGGCTGCCGTTTATTTTCCGGTCCCAATTCAAGGTACAGGTTATCACCTATAAAACCCTAAACAGTTTGGGATCCACCTACCTTCGTGACCGTATCTCCACGTAACAACTCAGTCCTTCTTTCCTCAGGGGACGTGCTCCTTTCGCCCCTACCAATCTCACAAGCTTGTTTTGTGGGCCTTCTCTTCTGTGGCCCCCCGACTTTGGAACTCTTTACCTGGGGAGATCAGGAAAGCCCCTTCACTGGAAACATTTAAAAAGGACCTCAAAACCTGGCTTTTCCACTGCGCCTTTGGCGAGTAGGTGCACAGCATGATTTTTGTTACACCCACTCAACGTTTTTGGCGAATGGAGTTTGTGCCCTCCAAATAGGATGTTCTGCCCCACAACTCTGTGTGTTTTATGAGTTCCATTTAAACGTCCTGCTCCTATTTTATCTCATCATAGTCTGTTAATGGTTTTTTATTCGGAATATGTGGCCCGCCCATTGTCATCTCCATCGTGATTGTGTCTATTGGAATTTTTATTTTATTATTTATTATTTTAATGTCATTTTGATAATGTTGTTGTTGTCTGTTGATTTTATTGCTGTATTATGTTGTGCGGGCTTGGTCCCATGTAAGCCGCTTCGAGTCCCCATCGGGGAGATGGTGGCAGGGTAGAAATAAAGTTTATTATTATTATTACTTTCCCCCTTCAAATGATGTAACAGTGCTATGACATAACCGCCAGGCACTGTGCCCATCCATGGTCTTACGCAACACAAACATGGCACAACAAAAGCCCTTTCCGCCAACACAGAAGGCAATGGTTCTGGGGGGGAGGAAGTGCAAGGTCCCCCATTGCCTAGCATTGCCCAAGGCCTGCGTCCAAAGCCACAGAAGGACAAAAGGTCCAGCGCTTCAAGGCTGGCAGATGCCTCTCTCTCCAAAAGCAGAAGGCATCCAGGCTGTTTGTGAGCATCGGCCGGCAATGTGCGTCTATGGGAAGCCCCTTTGTCCTTCACGTCCGGACAGGACTGTCCTTTCGGACAGAATTTGGGAAATGGTCCATTCTTTGTTTGTTCTGGGCTACATCTCCCAGAAACACCTCTCTTAGCCAAAAAGGTCACTAAAAACTTATAGAGTTCGGGGCAATGGTTTGGGGAGAATAGGAGGCAATTGCTGGCTCTCTTCTCCTCCGCAATGAGCTCAAAAGCCTTCTTTTGTCCTAAGGAAGGAAGGAAGGAAGGAAGGAAGGAAGGAAGGAAGGGAACAAAGGGAAGGAAAGGAAGGGAAAAGGGAGGAAAGGAGGGAAAAGGTAATTGGAGGGAAGGAGACAGAGAGAAAGGAAGGAAGGAAACAGAAGGGAGGAGAAGGGAAAGGAAAGGAGGGAGGAGGGAGAGAAAGAGGGATAGGGAAAGGAAGGGAGGGAAAAGGAAAGGAAAGAACAGGAAGGGAAAAGTAGGGGTAAAGAAGGGAAGGGAAGCTCAAAAGTCTTCTTTTTGCTCTGCATTCTTTCCTCTTTCTCAAAATGGTGTTAGGAATAGAAAGAAGAAAAGAAGGAAGGAAAGGAAAGAAGAAAGAAGAGAAAGGAAGGAAAGGAAGGGAGGAAAGGAAGGAAGGAAGGAAGGAAGGAAGGAAGGAAGGAAGGGGAAAGATGGAGAGGAAAAGGAAAAGGAAGGGAGGAGAGGGAGGGAGGGAGGAAGGAAGGAAGGAAAGAAGGAAGGAAGGAAGGAAGGAAGGAAGGAAGGGAAGGATGGAAGAGGAAGAGGAGAAGGAAAAGGAAGGGAAGGAGGGAAGGAGGAGGGAGGAGGAGGAAGAGGAAGGAAGGAAGGAGGGGAAGGAGGGAAGGAAGGAAGGAAGGAAGGAAGGGGGAAGGAGAGAGGGAGGGAGGGAGGGAGGGAGGGAGGGAGGGAGGGAGGGAAGGAAGGAAGGAAGGAAGGAAGGAAGGAAGGAAGGAAGGAAGGAAGGAGAGGAAGGAGAGGAAGGAGAGGAAGGAGAGGAAGGAGAGGAAGGAGAGGAAGAAAGAAAAAAGGGAAGGAAGGAAGTAGAGAAAGAAAGAAGAGAAAGAGGGAGGGAAGGTTAGCAACAGCAATGTGTGGTGGGTACAGCTAGTAGTAAACTAAAACATGAGTGAAACATTACAACATATAACCTAAAAAGCAATTATGATACAATTACATTAAAATGGCTAACACCAGTATTGGCTTAAGATGTATCATAGCAGGAGGAGGAAGAGAAGGAAGGAAGGAAGGAAGGGGAAAGAAGAAGGAGGAAGAGGAGAAGGAAAAGGAGAGGGAGGGAGAAGGAGGGAGGGAGAAGGAGAGAGGAAGGAGTGGAAAGAGGAGGCAGGGTAGGAAAAAGGAGAGGGAGGGAGGGAGGGAGGACGGAAGGAAGAAAGAAGGAAGGAAAGGGAGGAAGGGGAAGAAAGAGGAAGGGAAGAGGAGGAAGGAAAAGGAGGGGGAGGGAGGGAGGGAGGAAGGAAGGAAGGGGAAGGAGGAAGAAGGGAGAAGGAAAAGGAGAGGGAGGGAGGGAGGAAGGAAAGAAAGAAAGAAAAGAAAGGGAGGAATGGCTACAATCTTACGTAGCCTCTAAGTGGCTACATCGGGTAACAAATCTCCAAATTGACCTGTTGCAATACCAAGTTATTACACATATTGATAACAACACAGGAGGATCTCAACCAGGCCTGGGCAAACTTGGGCCCTCCGAGTGCTTTGGACCAACTCCCACAATTTGTAACAGCCTACTGGCTGTTAGGAATTGTGGAAGTTGAAGTCCAAAACACCTGGAGGGCCCAAGTTTGCCCATGCCTGATGTAGACCTTGGAGCAAACCCCTTGGAAGGCAAAGCAGAAGACTCATATAGAGATACATCCATTGGAACCATGACTTTTATTCCCAAGTATCTTTCCCCCATCCGGCTCAATTCATTTCAACTTGGTATTTTCCTTTTTTTAAAATCTTTAAACAAGATATTTTCCCCCCAAATTAAAAGAGTTGCGCCTTGTTCTGCTCAAAACAAGCCCGGACCCTCCCTTCCCTTCATTTTAATGGTATTTTGTGAAAAACTTGAAACTTTCGGGAGCGATTCGTTCCACATGCCTCCCGGGAAAGAAGAGTTTGTAAAAAAGAAGGGCAGAGGGGAAGGAACCAAATCTTGGTCAAGAAGAGTCGTCGGTCATTTGGTCAGCAGAAAAGACAGCGTGATTATAGCAGCGGCCATAGAGTCAACGGCTGGCCTTGTGCCACCGGAGCCCAAACCGTGACCTGCCGAAGCCTCTTTGCTTTGCTGGTTCAAACGCTGCTTGTTGGAAGGGATATCCTCCGCGTCCAAGTCATAGGCCAGCTCTAGAAAAACAAAGGGAAGGAGAAAACATGAGAAAAGAGGTGGAGAAGTGGTGGCGAGAGAGGTCTATAGAACTAGAACTGAGGAATGAATGCCGCTTGGCACCGCTTGGGCTGCCATGGCTCCATGTCACTCAGTTTTAATCATGAATTTTACACTTGGGTATGAAATGAAATTATTATAATTATATTATTATTAAATTAGAATAGTAATATTATATTAGGATTCCATTAATATTATTATATTAGGATATTATTATATTAAGATTATATTATTATATTAGGATTATATTATTATATTAGGATTATATTATTATACTAGCCGTCCCCTGCCACGCGTTGCTGTGGCCCACATGGGGGTTCTGTGTGGGAGGTTTGGCCCAATTCTATCGTTGGTGGGATTCAGAATGCTCTGTGATTGTAGGTGAACTATAAATCCCAGCAACTACAACTCCCGAATGTCAAGATTCTATTTTCCCCAAACTCTACCAGTGTTCACATTTGGCCATATTAAGTATTTGTGCCAAGTTTGGTCCAGAACCATCATTGTTTGAGTCCACAGTGCTCTCTGGATGTACGTGAACTACAACTCCAAAACCAAAGGACACTGCTCACCAAACCCTTCCAGTATTTTCTGTTGGCCGTAGGAGTTCTGTGTGCCAAGATTGGTTCAATTCCATCGCTGGTGGGGTTCAGAATGCTCTGTGATTGTAGGTGAACTATAAATCCCAGCAACTACAACTCCCAAATGACAAAATATTTTTTTTTTTTGAGTGAAGGAGATACATTGGGTTATTAGGTGTCTTGTGTCCAAATTTGGTGTCAATTCATCCAGTGGTTTTTGAGTTATGTTAATCCCACAAATGAACATTACATTTTTATTTATATAGATTAGGATTATATTAGTATGCTATTCTATTCTAATCTTTGTTCTGTGTATTTCAATGTATGTATTTTGTAGAAACACATTTTAATAATGTTTATTTTATATAATGTTTATGATTATAATGATGTGTTTTTAGCTATCTTGTCATCCACAGTTTTTAATATGTGTATTTATGACGACCCTCGGAACGAGAGCTGTGGAACGAATGCAGTTTGGCACTAATTGAATTGCCAAGGCTCAATGCTATGGTCGCTTGGGAGCTGTAGTTTGGCAAGGCACCAGCCTTCAATGGCAGGGAAGACAAATGATTTTGTCAAACTGCAACTCCCATTTTCCTATTGAGCCAGGGCAGTTCAAGTGTGGTCAATAAGCATTCATTCTGCAGTGCAGATGCACCCTTTGGCAGAGATTTCTAAGACCTTGGAAAACTACAATTCCCAGGGTGTGGTGAAGTGTAAAATTTTAACTTGCAGTTATGTATAATTATAGATAGATGTTTAAAGGGTAAGTATTTAAAGTTGCATAACTAAGGGGGCTGGTAGCCAGCTCAGCTCATGTTGAGCTGGGTTACCATGGAAACAGGGGCGGAGCCAACTGCCACTTGGCAGGACAGCCATTTTAAAACAGTCATTCTGTAGTCAGCGAACTACAGGTGAGGCTGGTTCTAGTGGGTGTTGAGAACCAGTGGGTTAGTCTACAGTCTGTGAACTGTAGGAGTGACTGGTTCTATAGTAATGAGAATCAGGAAGGGTTTTGCTTTTAGCCTGAGTAGTTTAAATAAGTCGAGTTGACTTATTCATATTAATAGTTAGTGTACAATAGAAATGGTGAGAGAAACCCAGTGAGAATCTCTATTGCAACAGAAACATCACAAAGAAAGAATAAGCTTGTAACTGAAGTAAACTATTAAGGAAAGAAACACAGTTTGAAGAAAAATAAGTTTGAAACCTGTTTAGTGGATGGAAGAGTCCTTTCCAGAGTTGTTTAAGGAACGTTATAAATGTAACCTATGAAGATATGTGCCTCTAAGAGTTAAGAAACATTGAAACCATCAAGCTCCTTAAACATTTCAATAAACTGTTACTGTTTTTTCCAAGTTAAGTCACGCTACACATTAAAGAGACCAAGTCAATATCACTAGCTATTAGCTACGCTATCAAATTAATAAACCCTTTCCAAACTCTTTACAAATTAGAGGCCTCGTCACACAGGGTTACTCCCTTGGACTGTATCTTCCAATATCGCCAGTGCTTGGGGCATGCTGGGAGTGGTAGGCCTGAATCATACGTGCCTAGATCCCTTTTTTAGATACATCCATAAGGCAGAATTAATGCAAGACAATCCTGGAAGCTGCAGTTTGGCAAGGCCTGTCTCTGCCACGGAGTGCTGCCACCCCGCCAAACTGCAGCTCCCAGGATCCCACAGCACTGAGCCATTCTGCAAAAGCGAAACTTGCCTATACGAGCAACTTTGTCCCCAGTTTGGCTTTGTTTCCAGTGATCCAGGGAACAAAAATATACACAGATTGACCCCCATCCACACTTGCGTCCTTGTGGTTTGGTTCCAACATGCCAGCCGCATGACTCCGACCAACAGCTGTAAACCTGCAAATATGTGCTTTCGATGTCAGCAAAAAGAAAAGGGACAGGGAGGGAAGGGGGACATTCCAGCAAAACAATTTGAATTATGCCTCTCATCTCGGGACAAGCTTTCCAGGTATGAGCCTCTGTCAAAGAGGCCTCATTCCAGCCTCTCCAAGGACAGCGAAAGTCAGAAAGAGAAGAGAATGGGATGATTTGGGGGCCTTTGATCCTATGCAATCCCAGGATTTCTACTTCCACGACACATTGAGAATCCTAAGCCAGATAATGTGTTGTCTCACAAAAGAGGGGCTGGATGGCCATCTGCTGGGAGGGCCTGGAGTCTGTCTTCCTGCCTGGCAGAAGTGGGTTGGACTGGATGGCCCTCTTTGGGGTCTCTTCCAACTCTAGGGTGGCAGATCTCAGGGTCCCACAGGATCTGGCACAAAGATCTTGTCATAAATAGGTTTGTTTGTGTTTTTGAATGGCAAGCTGTGATTATCTGTGGTTGCTATTTAATGCACAGGGAGTGTCATCAGCTGAAACCTTCTCTGAGTTTCAGGATTTGGCTTGGGATGATTCTGTGCTGGCAATCCTAAAATACGCAGTTAAATAAAAAGATAATCAGATGGATAGATGGATGAATAGATATACTTGGTGGATAGATGATAAATAGATTTGATTATCTATCCATCCATCAGATTATCCATCCATCCATGCATCCATCCATGCATCCATCCATCCATCCATCTATCATATCTATCTATCTATCTATCTATCTATCTATCTATCTATCTATCTATCTATCCTGGGGACGGGTAGATAGATAGATAGATAGATAGATAGATAGATAGATAGATAGAWTTGGTTATTCATCTATCTATCTATCTATCTATCTATCTATCTATCTATCTATCTATCTATCTATCTAGACTGGGGATGGGTGGATAGATAGATAGATAGATAGATAGATAGATAGATAGATAGATAGATAGATAGAATTGGTTATTCATCCGTCAGATTATTCATCTATCTATCTTATCTATCGTATCTATCTATTTATCTAACTATCGTATCTATCTATCTAGGCTGGGGATGGGTGGATGGATGAATAGATATGATAGTTAGATAGTCAGTCAAATGAATGGACAGATAGATAAGAAGGATGGATACATACATAGTCAGATAGATAGATGAATAGTTTGATGGATGGATCAATTGACAGATAAATATTCAAATGGACAGATGGATAGTCTGAAGGACAAATAGATCCACCCATCCATCTATCTATCTATGCCAGGAATGGATGGATGGATGGATGGATAGATGGATAGATGGATAGATAGATAGATAGATAGATAGATAGATAGATAGATAGATAGATAGATAGATAGATAGACAGTCTATCCATCCATCTGATCATACATCTATCTATCTATCTATCTATCTATCTATCTATCTATCTATCTATCTATCTATCTATCTAAGCTGGGGATGGATGGATAGATAAATGTTATTATCTAGCAATCCATCTTATTATCTATCTAGGCTGGAGATGGGTGGGTGGATAGATCGATAATCAGATGACTTGATGGATAGATAATTGGTTGGATAGATATATAGTCAGGTGGATGGATGGATGGATGGATGGATGGATGGATAGCTGGATGGATGAATACATAGGTATTCAGATGGATAGATAGATATTTTGGTGAATAGATAGAAGGATGGAAGGAAAGATGCTTGGGCAGAAATATAGGCTCCTGCATCAGGGTTGCACAGCATAAATCTCCCCAAGTGAACATACATTCTGTTTGTGCTGCAGAGTCCTTGCCTTACATGGAGAAATTATCCAACCAAATACCGATATCTGCCACCTGTGAAACCCAATTTCTGCAACCTTGGACTCTGTGCAACCCACAAAAAAGACTCCAATGGAGGAGCTTATACTTGAGTATAGGGTTCCAACCAGTGATGTTTGGGAGCCTTCGGCAGCAGCAGGGCTATTTCTGGCCTGAGCAACGTTCTCCCAAAAGTCATGCTCAAAGGACAGGAGCAGTACCTTGCGAGCAAATCGAGAGGGACTTCAAAGACTACAATGCAATGTGGGGATGGCAGCTGGCCAGCCGACGGAGGAATGCAACTGCACCAGAGAGTTCCCTCTCCATGCCAGGCATCTCGGCCTCTGAAGGAGATGCCAAGAGACCGTCTGGCACAGAGGACCTCAAAGTTGGACAGAACGTTTGTTCTCCGGGAAAAGGCCTGGGCTCCTTCCATCTTTGTGCCGGAGCTTATCCCTTCCTTAACATGTGCCATAACCGCCAAGGCAACATATATAAGTCTGTGTGGCTCCAACAGAGAGCAAAAGCAGTCGTCTCCGTCCCTAATGATATCCGGCAATGACAGTTTGTTTTGAACCCCAAATATCTGGCATTGTGACCTGACTTCCTATTATTATTATTATTATTATTATTATTATTATTATTATTATTATTAGAAACACAACAAGTGAGTCCACAGCAGACACTCTGCTGGCT